ATAATCAGTCACAAGAACGTCGAATCCGAATCACTTGAAAAACACGGGGGTGCTTAACTTTTTTCCAGGTGTATATTATAATACGTGTGCGTGTTTCGATGTTTCTCAGTGTTGGTAACTCATGTCTGTATACATGGTAATACGAGTCCATATTTCGATGTTTCACAGTGTTGGTACCTCTTGTCTGTATACACGGTAATACGTGTCTATATTTCGATGTTTCACAGTGTTGGTAACTCTTGTCTGTATACACGGAAATACGTGTCTATATTTCGATGTTTCACAGTGTTGGTAACTCTTATCTGTATACATGGTAATACGTGTCTGTGTTTCAGTGTTCCACAGTGATGTAACTATTGTCTGTATACATGGTAATGCATGTCTTATGTTTTAAAATGATGATAATTTTTGTCTATATTCATGGTAATGCCTGTCTTCACGTTCCACAGAGTTGGTAAATTTATGAAGCGGTTACTCACTGTATCACTTCGACTGATTACTTGGGTGGAGGGGGGTATCAGTTTGTAGTTAAGCACAAACCTACACAATGGGCTATCTGTGCTGTGCTCACCACGGGTATCGAAACTCGGTTTTTAGCGTTATAAGCCATCAAACTTACCGTTGAACCGGAGGGAGACATCAGAATAGAAAAGTTGATGAAAGAACTATGAATAAGGTGTCGATTTTCCTAATGATTAAAATAAATTTCCAATTTTCAGTAAATAATTGAGTAAATAATTCAAAACTGCATTTGTGCAATTATTTTAACATTGTACTCCTTTTAATTTTATATATAAATAATTAACTGTTTGAGTGTAAATTAATGCTTTTCCATACGATGTGGTCAAATTTTAAAACTTTTTGTAACTTTAAGCTGTGTCATTGAAACTTAGCTAAACTAGTTTTTGCTTTTCACATACCTCTGCACTACTGGTTCTGGCTGGTTCAATGTCGTGAGGAAGTTTTTTTTTAAACTAATCTCTATTACCCGTTATACTAGTTAAGGTATTAGCTTAACTGGGGAAGGATTTTTTTTATCTTCTCTTTCCTAATTGGAATAATAATTAGCTCAACTAATTAGCCTTTAGCCCCACCCCATGTAGAGTAGAAATGTTTAGTCTTAGTAATATGGAAGTAAGACAAGGAACAACGTGTTTCACGTATATTTTGCATAAAGAATCGTTTTAAAAATGACAAACAGATAAACTATTCACACGAACTTGTATTTTATCAATAGCATTCTGCACGAGTAGAGACTTGAAATACAGAATGGACTCTGGATGTGCGCAAAGACTGTAAATACTCGTATCACTTAGACTTTAGGTACATAAAGCTCTCACATAAACTAACCGTGCTTCGAATATCTACCAGAAACTAAGGTGTTTCGCTGAAACGTTAAGCAAATTTGTCGGTATCAGAAGGGGGTTGCTGGTTGATTTTTCAATAATTAACAATCAATTATAAGGTTGATATTTATTTATTCAGTAAAGAATTTAGCCCTCAAAATTACCGACTTGTTATTATACCTTTTACTACTAGTAGGGTCTACATATTTTATCATGTTAAGTAATGTTATGTTTTTGACTGTTACAGCACCCAATGTAAAGAACTACGAAAAAATCGTTGAAATCATTTATTTTCATTACAAAATACAGAGAGAACTTCAGCAGTTGTTAGTGGGATTAATTGGAATGTTGATGGTATTTTTGTTTATATTTTATGTTTGACTTATATGTTATTAGGGAACCTGTAACCAACTATGAACCCATAAGTAATTTGATACATAAATTGTGTTTAAAAAGCCAGTCAAGTCTTGAACCCATCTGTAAATCTCTAGCGTTACACATTCATTGTAGACCAATGGTCAAAGTGGCTAGGGCCGTGTCAACTACGTGGTATAAATGTCAACACATGTGTTTAATAAAGTTAAATAACTTTAACAGGTACAAACTGACGACAAAGAAATGATTCATGTTTACATTTATGAAAGGGCGCTAAACCAGTCATGGTAATTTCGTGCGAGTGAAAACTGGATTGAGTAATTATGCGCAATAAAAAAAATACTGATTTAATCACCTGGGATTATGAAACAGAACTGGAAATAAAAGGAGCCTCAATAACAAAATAAAAATATTGTTGGTTCATGACTATATAAATGTATGGTTATAAATTATTGGTAAGTTTAACGTCAATAAGAAGGAAGTCCTACGCTAGAATGCTTACCAATCTTTAATAAGGAACATTTGGAATAAAATCTAGAGCAAAGCAAAACATAGTGAGAATTTAAAAGCAAATACTACCTACATAACGTATGAACTGAATCATGAATGGTCGTTTGCAACTAATCTGCAGGAGCAGGACCTTCGCCGTGTTAGAAATAAACATCTTTAATTGTTAATTCGCAAGTTATTCAGAGAAAGAAATGAATGGGAAGACATGACCGTTTCTCACATCTTTCCTGATTTTCATCACGTACAACCAGTCATGGAAAGTCACTGGCTGATTTACAAGTAAAGCTTGCAAGATGTTAAGAACAGACCACCAGGGTGTTAAGGTTAACTTAATCTCTGAATTTGGAATATCAACGACATTTGCGTCTAGACTCCCCAACATATGGTTTAGTTGAAAGCAAACATCTAAAGAACCACACAGGTCTGTGCTGACACAAACTATATTACATCTTAAAGATTTAAATTGTTAACTCGCTCAACCAACAATACTGATATTTCGTTGCTCTTTTCTTTTACACATAAAACCCATTGTTAGCTTTTAATTAATAATACGCATAAAATTAAAATAAAAAACATTTTTTCTGGTATGCATGTTTTAAACACATTTTTGTAAAACAGCAACAATAAAGAAAATAAAAACTTGTCACAAAAAAAAAACGATAAAACTCTAGCGCTATTGGTAGTTATTTGTTTGTTTGTAATTACGCACAAAACTACACGATGGGCTATCTGTGATCTGCCCACCACGGGTATCGACACCCGGATTCTAGCGTTGTAAGTCCGCAGACATATCGCTGTGCCACTGGGGACTATTGGTAGTTAAAACTGTCAAAAACGTTAGAGTTTTATCGTGTGTTTTTTGAAGTGATCCAGGACAGCATTTCTCAAACTGGGGTCCGCGAGTCATATCAAATATTTCATAAAAATATTTTGAAAAATATGAATTAAAGAATATTTTTTTTCCGTAACATTGAATTTGTGTGAATTTAACCATTTTATTTTGGAATACAGCTTTTCAGGTACACGGAATCTTTTCTTTAAAAAAAAAACATCGACAGGTTTTGGGGTCCACAAAAACATTTTAAATTGAAAAGTGTCCTCGGGTTATTAAAATTTGAGAACCGCTGATCTAGGATATTTCTACGTCCAGGTGATATCTAATATAATCCTGTAAGTAATGCGCATGCCCACGTCTCTGCCCAACTATTCACCATGATACTTCCATTATATACCAAAACACATATTCGTCTCAGCTAATAGAACTTTATTATACTGATGTTTTGTGCAACGATTTAAACATGTGTAAAATAAATCACATCATCTTAAAACTTAACTTATAATCGTTAAAATCGGATATGTGATAAATGCGATGTCTAGATGTCATATGTAATTTCAAAATAAATTAATTTATAACTTATTTTGCTGCACAAACACCCCTGAGCTCTTCACGCATCAATAGTTAAAACATAAATATTTGGGTATTTCTTTATGTGCAACAGAAAATCGAAAAACTTAACATTATAAGGCAACACACTGGGATGTTGCTACAATGTGAAAAATTCAAATTGTCCCCCTCTTGTCCCCAAAATTATTATTATATTAACTGCTAAAACAATTTAGGACAATATGGTGTTGAAATGTATAGACAATAGAAAGTTAGAAAATGTATCATAATAATGGAATAGACCTGGGGTATGCGTGCTACCTGGGGTACGCAAAAACTATTCTTGAGAGTAGGCGAGAACCGTTGGAAATAATTTGAAAAGAAAACAAACACATAGGTGGCGTGGGAGTCTCTTGTTTGGGTAGGCTGTCACATACGCGAGATAATATTTTTGAATTAGTGAGAATATGCCTTGTAAGAGACATTTTTTGGGGGGAGGCTGCTTGTTTTTCACGACAGGTGTTCAAGGGGGTTGACTCTCCGACGGTCAGAGGTGACTTATCTCTCTTCTCCAATATCGGGAGGCTAAGCCTTTCCAAGCTTCTTATATGCACCGCCCCTGAATAAAGCCTACGCCTCAAAATTGGAGGGCAGTCTCGGTGAGTCACAAATGTGTGCGTATTGTTGATTTAACCTTGAATTATTTTTCTTGATTTACCTTATTTATTAATATTAATCACTATTTTTTTTTACTACATTATATGCATTAGGGGTACGCCGCTGGCCTAAAGGACTGACTCGGGTTACGCGACATTGAAAGGTCGAAAACAACTTGCTTAAAGGTTAAAAAGTGGATTATAGTAATGTCATAGACAGTTGATAACAATGAAACTTTGGTAACCTAAACAATTAAAAGTAAGAAACTGGAATTTTGTAAAAGCTTAAAAATTAGCTATATAGAGAGAGATAATTATACTTGTCATAAGACATTTGTATTAAGCTTATTAATTTTTTTAACACGGCATTTGTTTTAATGCCTTAGGGATATTCAATAATTAGAAGAGTGTGTAATAATGGTATTCTAACCATACTTTTTTCACTAATATCCATTGTCGATGAAGAGTTTCACTCATTAGGCCCACTGGTACACAACAAACACGGTAGTTGTCGCAACAAAATTTATGTAAGTCATTTGTTACAAATTTGTGGCAAAGTAGGATTATTCCACAACAATGAGGTGGAAAAGAAGTTTATTTTTTCAAGAGCTCATGTAAGTTTCCGGTTAAAGAAAAAAAAAGAGAACATTTAACACAGGAAATTAAATACTTGCAATGAAATTCATTAAATCTATCTTTCTACAACTAAAATACTTACATGTCGAGCGTAAAGATCCGGTACAAGAAGTAGAATTATGCTTAAGACCAGCGTAAACGACCTGTGGAATAAATATATTAGTATATCGTCTTAAAAAATAATAATCAACAATACACACTAAAAACTATGCTGAACAGACAAATTCAAAATGAAGGATACTGATTTATAAAAACAACTGTTTGATTCAGAATTTTGCGCAAAGCTACGCAAGGACTACCTGCACATAACCCTCCCTAATTTTGGAATGATATACTAAAAGGAAGGCAGCTAATCAACGACACCCACCGCCAACTCTTGTGCTGCGCTTGTCTGATCAACTAGTGGAATTCGACCGTCACTCTTAGTACACTCACGACTCCAAAATTTGAAGCATGTTTATGAGGCAACAGGTCGCGAACCAAGAATGCCCGTATTAACAGTTTGGGCACGTTAAATTCTGGGACACACCCAGCCCGATAAAACAACAAATAAATTGACATTAATATAATGCATTCAATATAAGTATATATTCTTGTTTAGTCCTCAGAATAAAACATTAGTTAAAAAGTGTCTACTTCATTGTCAAGATGACAGGTCGTTGATGTTCAAAATGTTTAATATAGGTAAGGAATTAACTTGTTGCTTTAATGTGAACGGTCATTAATTAATATACTACTCAACATAGTATTAAAAAGTTGTTTTTGATAATTGTGTTTTCATGGTCGAATATCAAACCGAAGGAATGATTTATTTGTATAATTTTATTTTAGCTTAACCTCAAACCATACCATACTTTCCAATATTAGAATTCTGTGTGATGAAAGAGATTGAATTTATGGTGCAGGTGAATTACGTCAAATCAGATTTAACTAGATGCTTTCTCTGTTGAAGCCCCCCAGTGGCACAGCGGTATGTTTGCGGACTTACACCGCTAGAAACCGGGTTTCGATACCCGTGGTGGGCAGAGCACAGATAGCCCTTTGTGTAGCTTTGTGCTTAATAACAAACAAACAAACAATCTCTGTTGAAATTCAGAATAACACCTTCTCCTGACAGGTTACTTATGTAACAAGCAGACACACCAACGTAGGCAGGTTCTTTCCTTTTAGTTGAGTGTATTCTATCAAAATGACATCACGTTGTTTACGTGATGTCATGTGCACCGATGATACTTTGTTGGGACACACTGTATATTAGTGATGCAGGTTCTGAACTAAGCTATTTTTTATTCTCAATTTCGTGTTTCATTTCTTTTGAAAGTAGTTTTTGAGTTTAAATAGGATTATATTACTCATTGAAATGCAGACGTGAAAGAATATTCTCTTTCTTTTTTTTCTCTCTCTCTCTCTTTTTTGTACCAGACTACAGGAGCTACAATAGCGCTCTAAGGGATTGAATAATTGATCCGAAAGGTCAACTTCGGAAGAATTCTGTACTAAGTGCATTCCATTCATGCCATACTCCTAATAATCTGACAGTCATGCCAGCCATACTTTCTCTGACACGAAAGACCATTGATTATTGACTAGAGACATTTTCTGAAGTGTGTTTGACATTTTGAAGTGTTTCTTTCCGATCTTAAGAGCTGTCTGCTTCATCTTAATACATGAACAGAATTTCAAATTATATGTATATATATATATATATTTTAATTTGGAGGTAAGTTTCTTCACACAGTATATCATAGCTCTTACACTTCATGAAAACTGAAAATGAGTTATGAACCTTACGCTAGCACTCTGACTGGATATGCACGTTTTAAGTAATCTAATTTAATTTGAAAAACAAAACAAAAAAACAGCAACAACAACTTATCTATTTATTCAATTGGTATTTTTGGGAAACATTCAGGGACGATGAAGCTTTGTGAAACAAACAGGTAATAAATAACATTATGAATATTATGAAGTATGTAGATATGAAGTACCAGCTTTGTAAAACATGAAGTACCAGAGTTGTAATCATACAGACATGTAGTACCAACTTGTTATAACATGAATTACCAGAGTTGTAATCATATAGACATGTAGTATCAACTTATTATAATATGTATTACTAACGTTGTGATCATACAGACATGTAGTACCAACCTATTATAACATGAATTACCAGCGTTGTAATCATACAGACATGTAATACCAACTTGTTATAACATGAATTACCAGAGTTGTAATCATACAGACATGTAGTACTAACCTTGAGAAGCATACAGAGATGAACTGCCAAACATTTGAAACAAATAAGTATGAACTTATTAAATTAAGGAACATAAAACCATTTATACCACCATTGTGTAGAACACACACACACACATGGATTATAAATCTCCTGGAACATAAAGACATGAAGTACACATATTGCTCATGCAACCTGTAATACAAATTTCACACATCGTGTAGAACTCACACATGGGTTATTAATCTCCTGAAGCTTAAGGACATGAAATACACATATTGTTCATGCAACCTGTAACACAAATTTCACACATCGTGTAGAACTCACACATGGATTATTAATCTCCTGAAACATAAAGATATGAAGTACACATATTGCTCATGCAACCTGTAACACAAATTTCACACATCGTGTAGAACTCACACATGGGTTATTAATCTCCTGAAGCTTAAGGACATGAAATACACACATTGTTCATGCAGCCTGTAACACGAACTTCACACGTTGTGAAGTATACATAGACATGATTTCTCAAGCTTGTTAAGCATAAATGAATGAAAGAAACATATATATTTTGAAAGTACGACTTTTTTCTTGCTGGCCCAAGAATCAACATTTCCTTTCTTTTGTGTAGTTTAAGAAACATTCATCAACACAAAGATTTGAAAACAAGTTGTATAGTAATTATGTACTCTGTACAAAAGAAGGAAAAATGCATGTTTTTGCTTTTCCTTTTTTTTTTGTAATTCAAGGAACTGAATCTAAAAAAAAAACATCTTTTCTAACGAACAGATATTTTTCTTTTCTGTCAGATGATTCCGTTTAATGTTTCACACAGTAAGTATTCACGTAGTTTTGATTAAGCTAATATTATTCAGGTACATTTATTGCATGATTTTAAACGCCAAGGTCGATATTAATTAGATTTTCATGTTATGAGCTACTTAAGCCATGTAAGGAAAGAAAATTGTGATTATAACGTAGTTATAAAAGATATTAACGTCAACGAAAATTGTCTATCACCTCATTGCAGGCAGGAAGTTTGAAAATATAAATCCATATTTACATATTTAATGCCTACGAGTGAAACAACAGCGGATATTAACGTTTCTATTTGAATATCCATGAAGAATCTAGAGTAACTGTTGCTAAACGAATAACGATAAACTATACAATACAAGAATTAAGGAAGTATCCAAAAACTTGTCTTGTGGCAGGTTATCCTCGCCATAACACATGCACATAATAATTACCAACACTGCGAAACATAAGACATGCATTGCCATGTATACAAACAATAGTTACCAACACTGTGGAACAGGAAGACAGGCATTACCATGTATACAGACAATAGTTACCAACACTGTGGAACACGAAGACAGGCATTACCATGAATATAGACAATAGTTACCAACACTGTGGAACGTGAAGACAGGCATTACCATGAATATAGACAAAAATTATCATCATTTTAAAACATGAGACATGCATTACCATGTATACAGACAATTGTTACCAACACTGTGGAACACGAAGACAGGCATTACCACGAATATAGACAAAAATTATGATCATATTATTTTGTTAATCATATATATTGCGAACCGTTTAAAAAAATGCGCACGCAGGCAAAGCTCAATATTCAATTTTGAAATGACGAGAGAACGGGCATGAATAATGTTGATAAGAAATTTTATTTCGCAAGCAGGATATTCTACACTAAACTGTTAGGAATTAATCACACTATCATTCACATTTCAAAATGTGACGTAACTTAAATAATAAAAATGTAGATTTGCCGTATGTTATTGTTGAGCGGCTCATAGCGTGAGTGAAATGTTCGACAATTACTTTTCGCGTTGGACGGTATAAGTAGCTGAAAGATTTGGCTCTGAGTGAATCCAACAGAAATAACCTTTTTGAAGCCCATGAAATAATTTAAATTTATAAATTAACTT